CCCAGTGGAAGACACAGAGCCTAATTTTTGCTGTTTCTTTCACTCTCCTTAGTGTGGAATGGGAAATTAGAAGAGGGTTTGGTAATTGCAACTTGGATTGGACACAGCTTTAGGAATGGCCACAAATAACGTCATGTGTTTGTTAAGTATGACTTCCCTATCACTGTAGAGGGTTCTGCCTTCCTTCCAGTTACTCAGGCTTGCAAACTTGTTGTCATCCTTGACTCCTCATTCTCACTTCCACTTATCCAATCCATTACCAGATCATTTAGCTTCTACCTTTACATCTCTCTTTACTCTGTCTTCTCTACACACAAATTGCCACTAACCTAATTCAGTCCATCATCACCTCTTATCTATACTGTTACAATAGCCTCCTAATTGGTCTCTCTACTTCAAGCATCTCCTCATTCCAATTCATCTTCCATTCAGCTGCCAAAGTGATTTTCAGAAAGTGCAAGTCTGACATGTCATCTCCCTTACCCAATAGATTCCAGTGGCTCACTGTCACTTCCTGGATCAAACATAAAGTCCTTTGGCTGGCATTTAAAATTCTTCAGAACCTGGCCTCTGTCTGCTTTTCCAGTTTTCTTATATTTTACTCCCATCTACATACTCTACAATCCATCCATACTGACCCTTTTTTTTTGTGAGGCAGTAGAGTTTAAGTGACTTGCCCAGGGTCATATAGCTAGTAAGTATCAAGTGTTTGAGGCCCAGTTTGAACTCAGGTTTTCTTGACTCTAGGGCTCTCTATTCCTTCAACATAATATTCCATCACCCAAACAGAGGATTTTATATTCGATCTTGGAGGTGAGAGGCAGCCACTGGAGTTTATGTGGGGGATGGAATGGGGTTGGGATGGGGGAGATATGATTGACTTGCACTTTAGGAAAATCACTTTTTCTGCTGAATGGAACATTGACTGGAGTGGAGAGAGCATTGTGGCAGGGAAACCAACCAGCAGGCTACTTCAAATAGTCCAGGCATGCAGAGGTGAAGTCCTACACTGGGGTGTGACAGAATCAGAGGAGGAAAGGAGCATATCAAAGAGATCTTACGAAGGTGAAATTCACAAGCCTTGGCAACAGATTGGAAATGGTGGGAAAATGGAAATGCAACATCAAGGGCAAGGAATGAGAAAAGGTAATTGGTGGCTTTGAAGAGTGCCAAAAGAGTGGTGGTATCAGATTGGAGACTGGAGAATGAATTGTTGGAAAGAAGTGGAGGCAGCATGTCTAAATTGTTCTGTCTAGAAGTTGAAAAGGGAATAAAGGAGAAGGAAAGAAATAGTATGGTAACTTGAGAGGATGGCACCAGCAAGGGGTTTGAGTTTTTGTTGTTCTTTTAATTTTTTAGATTGGGGGAGAGGAGACCTGAGCTTGACTGTGTAGAATGGACCACCGGATAAGGAGAGATTAAATATGATCCATAGGACAAGCTTCCGTTGGAGACAGAAGGATGGGATATCAGGATTTCAAGTAGAAGGGTTAGTCTTGGCAAAGAGGAAGGCAACCTAATACTCTGAGACCTGGGGCAAAGGAGGAGCTGGTGAGTGAAAATAAGGACGTTTTAAGTTGGAGGATGGGAGATCAGTAAAGCCCAGAATAGTTAGGCTGAATATTATTTTTTTTAAAAAGACAGAAAAAGGTAATCTGAGCAAAAAGGGAAGCCTATAACTGAAGGCTTCAAGACAGATGAAAAGGGTTGGAACAGCCTCTATGGGAGTGATGATAAGGAGTCAATTGGAGATAAATAGCAAGATTGCCAAGGCAGGTAGGTGGCAAAGTGCCAGACCTGATGTCAGGAACATTCATTTTCCTGAGTTCAAATCTGACCTCAAACACTTACTAGCTGTGTGACAACACCAACAATAGGATCCGATTGTCATTAAATAGCATGAATTTTCAACAGATCCACTCAGAACAGTTTGTGACTTTCTCCAGCTGCAGCTGCCAGTGGCTCACGAGTAGAAGTAGACAGCATTGATGGTGGTGGTATTGCTTTCTCTCTTATCAGGTTATTTATTATCTGTATCCATGCCTCAAGTTACTTATTTACTTATTCATAATACCAAATAGCTCCTTAGGAGCAGAGATATTTTAGAAAATTAGATCTCCAGCATGTAGAACAGTGTTTGGTGCATTTTAGGTACAAAAGAAATCCTTGTTGAATTGAACAGAATTCAATTGAATGAAGCAGTATATTTACTTTATCACGTGTTATTTAATTTCTTCTTCACCAGATTGTAAAACTAACACCATTTTCCCATAAGAGGAGTAAAAGAATTCTCCTGGTTTTATTGCTCCTCATTTGCACATGTGGAAATTTTGCCTTTCGAGTGTCAAATGCCAGGTTGGCTGAGAGTGGATAGAGAGAAAGGCTGTTGGGGAGATTCATGGTCACTTTGTTAAGCTGCCATTTTCAGGTTGAGGAAGAGTAAAAGCAATGGATATTCAATTCTATCTATCTATCTCTATCTATCTATCTATCTATCTATCTATCTATCTATCTATCTCTATATATCTATATCTATCTATCTATCTCTATCTATCTATCTATCTATCTATCTATCTATCTATCTATCTATCTATCTATCTGTAGTGGAAGGTAGAGGTTAGGGTGATGCTGCTACCAAATTAGACATGCTTTCAGTGAAGTCATGTGAAATAGATGGAAACTGGTACCATATCACTAGAACTGGAAGAGTTGGGGTAGAATCAACTATATAAGTGATATCATACACACTCATACACACACACACATACATACATACATACATACTCCTAATACAGTCTTGATTGAAAGCATGCTACAGGGAAAGATCAGACCAGAAGTAGCACATTATGAATTGTTTGTACTTTTTTTTCTTAATATCATAGCTTAGATGCAAATAAACTGAGGCCTGGGCAATAGTAAGGACTCTGTGACATCCCCTTTTCTATTCATTTCTCCCTTTTAGTGTTCCTTTCTCATCACCCATTCAGACACCCAGTGTCTTCATGATCTTTAACCCCTTGCACAAAACAAAAAATAGCCTTTTTAAACTTTTATTGAGTTTACTAAAAATAATTTTTATATCAATGTGATAATTTTCCCCAAGTTTTGTTTCTTATCCATAATTGTGGAATGCTGAGTTGTCTCTTCTTAAAAGAACATCAGGATACTAGGAGCAAAGGGGGGAGACATATTGTAAGTGTCAACATTGTATTTTAGGAGTAAGGAGAAATCCTACAAGGCATAAGACTGATTCTGAAGGTGAACTTGTTTCAAACATTTTAGGGTGATTTAATGGCTAGGTCAAAAGGGACAGTTGGTTCTGGGACCATTTCCTTATTTTCCCTTCCTCTTCCTCACCTGTCTCCTTTTTCCCAATCCTCCTTAAGCCTCCTTCTGCCCTTTTCCTCCTCATCCATCCCCAGGTTGACTCAGTTATTCCCTCAAGTCTGCTAGTACTTAAAACACCAAGCCCCCATGTAAGGGAAATGAGGATGGGGAGAGGCAGGACAGGGGACCAGGAACAGGACTGGATTAATGACGAGACTTTATGGATATAGTAGAGGGAACATCAGTCCCTGGGGAGGTCAAGCACAAGATATCTAAAATTCCTATAATGCAAGCTTCCCAGACCCTTGTCTTTTAATGTGGGTAATTGTTAGTGTGTTGTTGATGATAGTTAGAGTGTTATAATTGGCATTTAGAACTGAATGAGACCTTAAAGGCCATCTAAACCAACTCCAACATTTTATAGAAGTTGGAAAGCTAAAGCATCTTGCCCAAGGACACAGAGGTAATAATTAACAGAGCTAGGGTTCCAACCGATGTTTTCGATTCTAACCCTCAGATTCCTTTTTCACTTGATCAGGCTGCTTAGCACCTGGGAAAATTGTTGATATTAAAACATTTACAAATTCTGGGGCACTAAGAAGACACAAAGAGAAACACTTTGTATGACTAGTTTTGCTATGCGAAAGTAATGTTCACTGCCATAATTCATGAAACTTTTGGCCATTTATATCTAATTACCATGTAGCACAATGAGTGTGTATAACATTTCATGTACATGTACAACATATTTTCTTGCGGGAAATTAGAATGATAACAAAATATCTTCCTTTTACTTGAGTTTTTAAATACTAAGAACAGCACACTAAGAATCATAATACTTGACTTTGAAATAGTGATGCCTTCATTACTTGGCTGACCTTCAGCAATTCACTTCATTTCTCTCAGTCTCTGTGTCCTTACTTATTTATAATCAACACCTTGAACTAACTAAATGGTCCCTAAAATACCTTTAAGCTCTAACATTCTTAGATTCTATACTTAGTTGGTCAAAGTGGGGCAGTTAGGTGGCACAGTGGACAGAGCACCAGGCCTGGAGTCAGGAAGACCTCAGACACATTCTAGCTGTGTGACCCTGAGTCAGTCACTTAACCCTGTTTGCCTCAGTTTCCTCATCTGTAAAAATGAGCTGAAGAAGGAAAGGGCAAACCACTCCATTATATTTGCCAAGAAAACCCCAAATGGGCTCACAAAGTGTCAACATGACTTGAAAGAACTCAACAACAAAAACAGAAATAGCAAAGTAGAGAGGCAATGTGATGGAGTGGGAAACATACTATTCCTGCTAAACACAACGAGTTTGAGTCCTCATTCTGACACTTACTAGCCCTGAGACTTTGGGGAAGTAATTTCATCCCATTGAGCCTCAGTTTCCTCATCTGTAAAATGAAGACAATTTTACTCTCACTACTTAGCTCACAGCATTATATGAGGAAAAAATACTGTGTAAATGCAAGCTGTTGTGATTTTTGAGGTGATGCAAAACATATCCCAGTAGGCATAAGTCATTTTTACATTATACACACTGTACAAAAGTACAAAAATATAAGTTCCATTTGATCTAGAGCTGCTAAATTTGACTTGCTGTTTCTGTAAGTAAACAAGGCAGTGTGGGCTTGGCTAGCTAATTAGAAGTGTATTTTTCTCCATTACAGATAATTAGGATTTACCAGTCCCTGGATCAAGTGCTTGGAAAACTTTAAGTTCCATAGTCAGCTGCCATTTCAGAGAACAGAAAATATATGGTTTTGGAAAGTTCCTGCTGTGCCTTCATAGAGTTTTAGGTGAGTGTGTGTGTGAGAGAATTTAAGCGGGGCACTAGATTGTACCTCCTTAATGTTCTTTGTGTGAGAAGGATCAAAGTTTAAGACTAGTACTTCCTACTACTTCCTTTTGTAATTTTTTTTTCTTTTTTGAAGCCAGGTGGTAGACTATGGAGACCTTGACCTTGGCTTTGCTACTTATTAGCGATATGATCTTGGGCAAGTCATTTAACTACTCAGTTTTTTTCATTTGCAAAATGAGGATAACAGTGCATACCTTGGCTATTTCACAGGGTTCTTCTGAGAATCAAATGAGATTGTGTTTCTGAAAATACTTTGTAATTTGTAAACTACCATAGGAACATCAGGTGTTGATTGGTCTTTCTCCCAGTTCTCTTTATTACTTCTGCTGTTGGAATTCATCTGAATCCATGTTACAACCTGGAGTGTGCTGGAGCCAACTTATACTGGCTGGAGAGAGCTGATCATTAAATTTTCAGGGTGAACATTTGTACCTTAGAAATTATCAAATGCTACAAACAAGGGCTTTCTTTATTGTTTTGTTGTTTGCCTATAGATTTATAAAAGTGATGGAGAAAATGTTAATGGTGCAAATTAATGTTAAAAATTTGTTGTACTACTTAGAGACCTGCTTATTAAATATTTACCAGGATACCTCTGGTTTTAACTCCTGTGAAAAAATGTACCTTCTTCCCTAGGGCCTCTTTCTGATTACTATTAGATAAATTTCATAATATCATGATATTTAGGATTGTCCCAATATCCTTCATGTCAATACACATACCAATACATACATACATACATAGTTGTAATTAAGAGTGGCATAATGAATAGAGGGCTAGTGTTAGGGTCTGTGCAACCTGAATTGAAATCCTCCCTTAGGCAAGGATACAGAGCAAATCATTTAACATCTCATTACCTCAGGCAACTTTCTAAGAGTACGAATTGCAGAATAGTTACTGATCTACCTTAACTGAGGGGATTTCCTCACAGAAAATTTCATATACTGATGAAGTCACAGGTCTTGGGGAGAAAAAAAAAGAAGTAATGATTAAATATATTAAGAGTGAATGAGACAAGGTAATTTTTTTAATGGAAGAAGATCCAGATGGAAATTTTAGATCACAGTAGTGTTTATATCATTGACAGTTTTATGGACTCATAGATTCTCAGGCTAGAGAATATCTAACCCAAACCCTCATGCAAATAAGGAAAATGAATCCTAGAGAGGGGACTTGTCCAAGGTCACAAAATGAATAAGTGACATTCATGACTGACTTGAACCTGAGTCATGATTTCTTTTGAATATCAATCATCCATTCAATAAATACTCTTTTAACACAAGAACAATGCATTGTCAAATCTATATCAAATAAGATACCATTTTGAAAATCTAATATTTCTTGATGATAAAAATAAAATTTAAGGACAGTTTTACTTTTAGTTCTTGACATTGTCATTTTTTTGTGTGTGATTTACTTTATGTTATGTTTTTTACATGGAGAGATTTTTATTAATTTTTGTCCTAAGGACCTTAATGGGAAAAAAAAAAATTTAAACGAAAATCCTTAATTACCTTCCTATGGTAGTCAACATAGGAATAAGTAAACTGTTGATGTCAATGCTGCCTTAGGCTGGGACCTTGCATTAATTAATTTGACTGGTATCAGTAGAAGTTCTAAAAATAAAAGTTATTTTGCCATTAATTTCCATTTTGATTCTATTTTTTTCTACATATCTGCCTTGTATAAAACTCAAGTGTGGTTTATTTTGGGGGGGAGGACGAGGAGGGAATTGGGGGTAAGTGACTTGCCCATGGTCACACAGCTAGTAAGTATCACATGTCTGGTCGGAGACCAGATTTGAACTTAGATCCTCTTGACTCTGGGGCCCATGCTTTATCCACTGCACCACTTAGCTGCCCCTTCAAGTGTGGTTTATAATCAAGACTTTCTGATTCTAAACTTATATACTATCTTTTCAATTCCAATTGATCTCTTTTTCAGAGTAAATGCCTAGATTAGGACCAAGGCAGTAGTGACATAATTGTAACCAAGTCACACAATTTATTGGGCCTTAATTTTGCTAAATGAGGTAACATGAGGTAGTTAGATTAGATAATCTCTAAGTTTCTTTCCAGCTCTAACATTTTATAATGTCATGAAGTTAATCATAGAGTTGAGAGGCAGTATGATACAGTGGCTAGAGTGCTGGTCTTAGAATTAGGAAGACATAGATTTGAATCCCAGCCCTGACACTGTCTAGTTATTTGACTATGGACAGGAGATTGTTGTAGGTGAGAGAATTCCAACACCAGTTAAGTAAGAGGTGCTTGATATTAACTACCAAAAATGGAGGAGTTAACAAAGGGTTAGAACTGGAAAGTGGGAAGGAGGGCTGTCTAGCTCTCTCTGAGTCAAATCTTCAAAATGAGGACTTCTTTATTTCATGTAAAGTGTTATGAATTTCCAGAGACTCAGTCACACTTACATCCAAATGTAAATATTGAGTAATATATTAGGGGGAATGTTGGTGACCTGATGAATATATCTAGGCTGGTTGGTGGTGATGTTTCAGTTATATTTTTGAGTAATTTCAGAATGAGGTTGATTAATTGTCTCATAATTTGAAGGGTGTTTAAATTTAATTTACTATAACTGTGTGAAGCAAAGATGTTATAAACCAAAACATAGTGGTGATTTGCATACATTTAGAAGAATTTTGTCTAATGAAGATCCCCAGAGCTCAACTTAAGTGCCCTTTAAAATATGAGAAAATCATTGGCTACTGTTAAAATCATGTCTTGAGGATCAAATGAAAAGCCTGTATTCTTAGTCATTCTATCAGAAGTTCAGATACACTTTATTACTCTCTCTGTGTCTGTCTCTGTCTGTATATCTCTCTTTCTCTCTCTCTCTCTCTCTCTCTCTCTCTCTCTCTCTCTCTCTTTTGCAAAGAAAGGGGAGCAACTATGGCTTGCATTCCCTAAAGAAATAAATGTTACCTAGGATATAAATTGGAGGTTGTCTTTTTTTTAAGCCATAATTCTGTATTTTAGTATTCTTAAAATAATCTTGTTGGCTGCTCTTAATAGTAATGAAGACTTGTTATTGTTACAAATGTTAACATGAGTCAGTTTCGAATTTGCAAAAAAACATTCCCAGATATGATTTATTTTGTTTCTAGTTTTGTAGGTTGACATTTAGCACAACTCAATCTATTATGGAGACTCCCCCTTTAGTGATCTCCTATTTTTAGGGTGTCACTCATTCCAACATTCGTATTTAAATACAGAGCCTTTTGATTTCTTCGATTATGTATCTTCTCTCCACAGCTGAATGATCGATCATCCTTCTGTTAGTTATGGCTGTTTGCTACCCAAGATGCTTTATAAGCTGGCGTACTATTTAGCAAGGCTGCACTTCCTCTAATGAATACATGGTGTGTCATGAGAGAAGTGTCTGTCCTCTTTGACAAGTAAATACTTCATCATTGTTCTAGTATTCCCAATCTGCAGGAGTTCCTTAGTACTAATGAAGCATTTAACTTAATCATTTCTGCTCTTCACTGGGTTATTTGTGAGTGTAAGTGCCTGGCTACTTTATTTTTCTTTTATTTATGTGGATTTTATTCTTTTTACCCTCTTCCTCAGAGGTCAGCAGGGTTGCTCAACTGTCAGTTTTAGTGCATTTACATCTCAAACGGACATCGTGTTCCCATTGCCATTGGAAACAGAACATTACTGGGGGGAGGTGGGGAGTGCTGAACCTTTAATATCCAGTGTGGAATGCTCTCAGAGAACAAATAAGTTGCTTGATCATCAGACTTGCTGAGGCCTTTAACAGCTCTGTGGAAATCCTTTAGCATCCACAATGAGGAAACACAGAGCCAGCCATAGTCAGGGGTAGCCTGCCACCTTGATCGTATGATTTGAGGAGTTCCAAAATTCTCAACCGCCTAAACATATCCCTTTAGGTTTGTTTCTCTTAGGTGCTTCCAAAATCCCTTAAAATTTGCATTGTTTGAGATATGCTTTTGGGTAAAGGAACTGTATCTTCGGTTGAAAAATAAATATGTTACCTGGGAAGCATTACACGTGCACATGCATGTCTGGCTGGGGTGGCATAAGCCCTGACTGACAGATTTTTGTCAGGGAGAATAGCTACAGAATCAGATCATGAGTCGGGAAAGATAAGCACCCACAGAGTGCTGCAGGCTACCTGGAATGCTTCCGGATCCATGGGAAGAGAAACGTAGCACTGAAAGACTGAGACAAAATTGATGGTTACTTCTGAGAGAGCAGACTTCAAATCAGCCATGAAGGCTTCACTTAAAGACTTGGGTTCAAAATTCTTTAACTTTGTATTTATCCCAGTGCCCCCAATGAACTCTTTACTACTTGAAGTTGCAGAACGGTTGCTGATCTGCATTGCTGGAAGGAGTGAGGAATTTGCTACAAGGATGAAATCACAGGTCTGGGCAAAAACAAAAAAACTTACAGTGATGCTATATGGGTGTATATTATGAAATAGAAAGAATTATCTCAGAAGAGTCTAAATTTGCAGTGACATAACAATCATCTGTTAGTCAACAAGCATTTATTAAGTGCTTACTACATGCCAGGCTCTGGACTAAGCTTGGAGGGTGCACAGATTGGTGAAAACCTGGTCCCTGAACTTGAAAGTTTTATAAATGACATCATTATGTATAACCACATAAGGCAAAATGGACTGGTCATGGAATAAGAGCAAGAGGTGGCCCAACTGTTACAACAATATTCACAAAACCCATGGGGGAAGTGATTTTAATTTATGAAGAATTTGTGTAAAAGGAAGGACAAGAATCATACAGTATGAGATGGCATGCAGGGTGGAGGGAACTGTCATGGAGTAGATCCCAATATTGATGAGATTATGTTTTTTGTGGCACCAAAGTACAATAGCCATGGAGTATCCCGAGTATCTTCCCCTTTTCATAACCAAGGTATGTGTGTGTGTGTG